AGTCCATGGGGTTGTAAAGAGTCAGACATGACTGAGAATGCATGCCCAACACAATGGCAACTCTATCTTTGAATCTTTGAGGACTGTTTCCCAGTGGCTGCACCATTTTACATTTCCACCGGCAGTGTATAAGGATCCCAGTTTCCTACACCTCTCTGACACTTTTTGATTCTAGTCATCCTAGTGGCATCTCCTTGTGGTGATTTGCATTTTCCCTAATGATTCATGGGGCATCCCAGGCATGCTAGTGCCTGCCAATGCAGGAGACATAAGAGATGTGGGTTCGGTCTCTGGGTTGGGAAGATCTCCTGGAGCAGGGTGTGGCAACCCACTCCAGTATTCTTGCCTAGAGAATCCCATGGACAGGAGCTTGGCAGGCTACAGTTCATAGTGTCACAAAGAGGAGGACATGACTTAGCACGCAGCATGTGGTGATTCGTAATGTTGAGCATCTTCATAGGATCACTAGCCATTCATATATCCTTTGGAGAAACGTCTATTTGGAGCCTTTGCCCATTTTTTGAATCGGGTTATTTGTCTTTTTAGTGTGGATTTGTAAAAATTCTTCACATATTCTGAATACCAAACCCTTAGCAGATATATGATTTGCAAATATTTTCTCGTAGCCTGTGGGTTGTCCTTTCACTTCCTTGATGGTGCCCTTTGAAGCTCAAAAGTTTTTAACTTTGATTAAGTCCAGTTTATCCGTTTTTCATTTTGTCACTTGGGCTTTTAGTATCATATGCAAGATTCCATTGCGTCCATGGTCCAGTGTGACCATGATTGACTCCTGTGTTTTCTCCTTAGAGTTGTATAGTTTAAGCTGTCACATTCATGTCTTTGATCCATTTTGACACGATGAAAGGTGAGGCTCCAACTTTGTTCCTTTCCATGTAGCTATGCAGTTGACCTGCACAAGCAAAGAGGACCTAAGCTCAGCCATGCTCCTATGTAGCCAGTCTTCCCAGCCTCTTGCTGGCCCTGTTGAAAAGAATTCCTGCGTCTTAATCTGGGCTGAGATGGGTGATCTATTAGCACTATCTGCTGTGGGTGCTGAATGGGAATATAGATACATGTGCTGCTCAGCTCAGTGCTATGGAAGGCCTTGACTGCCGCCAACTTTTCTTTCCTTAACCTTTTCCGAGGGCACAGACCCGAGCTGTGGGTGGGGTGTCACTCAGGTGCCCATCTCCTGGCCCCTCCCCAACAGGATGTGAGCCTGCACTTCGTGCTGTGGGGCAGTCTGCACGTGTACCAGCGCATGATCGACAAGGCGGAAGACGTGTGCCTGTTTGTGGTACAGCCCGGGGAGCTAGTGGGACAGCTGGCTGTGCTCACCGGCGAGCCCCTCATCTTCACGCTTCGAGCCCAGCGTGACTGCACCTTCCTGCGGATCTCCAAGTCCGACTTCTACGAGTACAGCCTGGGCCCCATGTTGGGGCGGTGGTGACTCAGGGGGTCCCCTGACCAACTCCATTCTGCCCTGCATGTGGCTATGCCTCTGAATGCTCCACACTTTTCAACAGCACTTGAAAAGCCGTTTTCACTTTTTGAGCCCTTCCTGTCCCACCCCCCAAGCCATCACCCAACTCAACACTCCCTACCGGCTGTTCCTGGGCGCCCCCCGGCCCATGCGCCCCCTACCTTTGCCTGCAGGATCATGCGTGCACAGCCCAGCGTGGTGCTGAGCGCCGCACAAACCGTGGCCGCCAGGATGTCGCCCTTCGTGCGCCAGATGGACTTCGCCATCGACTGGACTGCAGTGGAGGCGGGACGCGCATTGTACAGGTACAGTGCCCGCCTCCACCCCTTTCTTCAGGCCCTGCCCACCTGCCCACTCTGTCTGACACCCGCGCCCCACCCCAGGCAGGGCGACCGTTCAGACTGCACCTACATCGTGCTAAACGGGCGGCTTCGTAGTGTCATTCAGAGGGGCAGCGGCAAAAAAGAGCTGGTGGGCGAGTACGGCCGCGGGGATCTCATAGGAGTGGTGAGTGTGGCCCCACCCACTGACCTCTAACCTCTCCTAGTCCAGGTTCCCCCCACTCCCAACATGTATTTCATCCCGGGCAACAGGATGGGGCACTGAACGCGCCCTCCCCCGCCTCTAACCTCATGTACTCCATTTTCTCTAGCTTCTTTCCGTGGGGCGGGGAGATGGGGGCAACCTCATCAGTGTAGTGAGGGACCCTCACCCGGTGTGGAACCCTGTCCTGGCCTCTCCCCGAGCTCCGAGACGGATAGCAAGGCTTAGTTCCTCCTTCTGTCTGCACCCAGTCAGCCTTCCCCTTACCTATCAGCCTCCTGGCTCATGCAGCCCTGGTCACGCACTCGGTCCCCTAGGTGGAGGCGCTGACAAGGCAGCCACGTGCCACGACGGTGCACGCGGTGCGCGACACGGAGCTGGCCAAACTCCCCGAGGGCACCCTGGGCCACATCAAACGTCGATACCCGCAGGTGCAGCTCGCTGGGCTGGGGGCTGTTCTCTTAATAGGGGTGGGACAGATGAGTAGGGGTGTGGCCCTAGAGGAGGCGGGGCCTAATGGGTGGGGAGGGGGTTCGGGTGCAGGATGGAGCCCTAGGGAGGAGCTGAAGCCTCCAAGTGAGGGGCGGGGCCAGGTAACGGACCCAGGCGCCCGGGTCAAGGAGGAAAAGGTGGTACTCGCAGAGTTGCTCCTGCAGTCTCACTGAACCACCGGCCTCCAACGCCCCAGGTCGTGACTCGCCTCATCCACCTACTGAGTCAGAAGATTTTGGGGAATTTGCAGCAGCTGCGTGGACCCTTCCCAGGTAGGAGCCTGCAGGCGCCAGGGAATACTGGAGGATGTAGTCCAACGCCGCAGAACGTGCTGGGGGAGGGAGCCTTGAGCCCAGGGCATTCTGGGAGGTGGAGTCCAGCGTATAACCTGCTCTGGGTGGAGTTTGAAGCAGGAAATTGCAATGCGAGTTCTGGTGCATGCTGGGGGATGAAGTTCGGGTTCCTGGGCATGCCGGGAAATGGAGTCCTGGACCCAGGGCTGCTTGTTAGTGGAATCTAAAGCGTCAGTCATGATGAGAGGTGGGGTCTTAGGGGCAACCTTGGTTCTGGGTGTCAGAGCTGGTTGGAGGATGGAGTCCACCTACTAGGAAAGGAAGACCTAGACTAACGTGTGCTGGGAAGTGTAGCTTGTGGGGTGGTGTTTGGGGCCTACGGTATATTGGGAAGTGACATCAATAGGTTACCAACATGGTGGGAGATGTGGTTCCTGGTCCTGGTGGATGCTGGCAGTCGCATTTCTCACTTTCAGGGCATGCTGGGAGGTGTGGTTCCCTTCAAGGGCATACTGGGAGATGAAGTTTCCTAGCTAGGATATACTGGAAAGTGGTCAGATTGGAGGCGTGCAGAAATATGGGCCCGAGGTTTTCGGTTATGGTGACCTGACCCTGGACTAGCCTAGGCAACCTCTACTTTCCTTTCTCCCCCCGGGGCTTCTGCCCAGGCAGCCCTGAAACCCGGATATCTGGGGTGGGGCCAGGGTGAGCCGTGGTCAGGAACCATCCCTATGCCCAGGGTTTTACCCGACAGACTTTCCCCCAGTCCTGCACTCTGTGCCAAGTACACTTTCACTCCCACTCTACTGGCAGGACCACCCTTGGTGTGATTCTGGGGCAGCTACAGGGGCAGGGACTTTAAAAATCTCAGACCTCTGAGAACCTCTCTGTGATGCTACAAAGACCGAGTTTCTAGTGAGCATCTAGTGTGTGCTGGGCATCCTGCAGGGTGCAGGGTGGTGGGGGAGTACACAAGACAAAACCCCTAGAAGGGTTTATGGCTTGGCTTGTAAGATAACAGCCTTTAAAAGACAAAGAAAGAGTACAAGGTCAGTTAAGGTACTATGTAGAAAGCAAAAGAGAGTCTTGATGGGGTGTGACTAACCTAAGGAGGCAGGGTTTTCTGAGGACAATGAGCAGAGACTTGATAAATGAGATGGGACCAGATGCTGACAGGACTCCAACAGGGTTTGGTGGTATTGAAACACTTCAAGGGGGAAAGTGAGTGAGGGGGAGGAATGGGCCAGGGCAAGTTTTGTAGGAACCAGAAAGGCATTTGAACTTGTTTATATTGTTATAATCTGAGCAGACTCTGGGAGATGGTGGTAGACAGGAAAGCCTGGCATGCTGCAGTTCACAGGGTCCCAAAGAATCAGACATGACTTAGCAACTGAATAATAAAACTATTATAGGAATTGGTGGAGGAGAAGAAGCAGTGAGAGGTCTGATCAAGAGATAGGGGTAGGGCGAGTGGCTCAGGCAGCCAGAGGCTTGGGCGCAATCTCCCCGGTGTTTGGGAGAATTAATCAATGAAGACATCCACACCTCGAATTCTCTATGTCAGCAAGAAATAAACATCAAAACATGTGATAATTCCATACCAATCATTGAATCAAGCAAAAAATTATGGAATCAACAATATTTCACTATAGCATTTCCCAAACCATCCCAGCCAGGTGGAAAAAAGAGATTAAGACCTTCAGAAATACAAATCACAGTTCCTCCTGAAGCAAAATGGATTCATAAGCTGCTTTAAAGAACAACTGAGCACTTCATTTCACAGAATGGCCTTACCACAGTTAACAATAGCTACTCTCAAATGAGCATTTCTACTTCTGTGGAACTGTAATAAATAAAAACAAGTCTTCCGTGAAAAAAAAAAAAGAGATAGGGGTCGATGTTTTAGTCTAAGGTGTATGCAGAGAAGCTGAGACGCGATAGGTGGGTCAGAAACATCTTTATCTCAGTCTAGTTCTGTGTTCAAGTCCTTTTAGTGGACAGAGACCCCCCCACCCCACCCAGGCGAGAATGGGTAGGGGCACAGATCAAGTCCATGTAGGCAGAGTGGAAAAGAGAAAGGGTTATACAGTTGTGTAGTGGATCCCCCTGAGGAGACTGGGCCAAAACTGAGGGTCAGATAGCCAGATCTTATCAAGGACAGTGATTGAGGCTATGGGGCTAAGATTGAGACCATGACCTTCAGTATGGCGTCACTCAGCCTCAGCTGAGGGACAAGGAGAAGGGATTTCTGAGAAGGTGGGGGAGAGCTGACCTTTCCAAACACAGGACCGCACAGCAAATAACATCCTTTGGGGTCTCAGCAGGCTCGGGACTAGGTGTCCCCCCTCACTCGGAGCTCACCAACCCTGCCAGCAACCTGTCAACAGTGGCAGTGCTGCCCGTGTGTGCCGAGGTGCCCATGGTGGCCTTCATGCTGGAGCTGCAGCACGCTCTGCAAGCCATTGGTCAGTCGTGGGCAAGGGCAGGCCTTTGGTCTGTGTGGGGCAAGGCGCGTGCGGGCGGGGGCATTGGTCAAGGAATGGAGATGCCTTGGTGGGTCAGGGTGGGGGTGGAGCTGGAACAAGGCCCTGTAAGCCAAATAGGTGGTATTCTCTCATGAGAGAGGCCCCACCTCTGTTAGCCCAGGTTCCTGAACACCCTTCCTCACTCATCCATCTCCAGGCCCCACGCTCCTCCTCAACAGTGACATCATCCGGGCCCGCCTGGGGGCCTCTGCACTGGACAGGTGTGTGTTGGGGGTATGGGGACGGGGAGCACAGGGGTGAGCTCAGAATGTAGGGTTCTTTCAGTCTCATTTGAGTTCTATGTTGTGAAACAAGGAGCATGGGCCCCCATCCCTCTGGTCACTGGGGAGACAGTGGGGTGAATCGGTCCCTAGAGGACACAGTCGTGTCTAGGCCTTGAATGTCCACATCCACATCCCCACAGCAGTGGAGCTACATGGTCTCTGAGGGCAGGGACCCCTGACCAGCCCCAAGATGACCCTCCCCACTCCCACCCTAGCATTCAAGAATTCCGACTGTCAGGGTGGCTGGCCCAGCAGGAGGACACGCACCGCATCGTGCTCTACCAAACAGACACATCGCTGACGCCCTGGACCGTGCGTTGCCTGCGCCAGGCCGACTGCATCCTCATCGTGGGCCTGGGCGACCAGGAGCCCACACTCGGCCAGGTCTGGAGACCAGGCACAGTGACCCGCACCCCCAGGATCCCACCCCAGGCCCTTGGGTGCCTGTGCCGGGCCATATGCACCTTCACCAGTGGGGCTAGGTGACCAGGAACCCAGGGGACCAGGTGTTGGGGGCGGGGAGGAAACCACCGGTGAGAGTGACTTCCGTGCTCCCCATTCCCACCCCACCCCCCATGCAGCTGGAGCAGATGCTGGAGAACACGGCAGTGCGCGCCCTCAAGCAGCTGGTCCTGCTGCACCGCGAGGAGGGCGCAGGCCCCACGCGCACTGTGGAGTGGCTAAACATGCGCAGTTGGTGCTCGGGACACCTGCATCTGCGCTGTCCGCGCCGCCTTTTCTCACGCCGCAGCCCGGCCAAGCTGGTGAGGGGTGCTGCAGGGCGCGGGTCCACTGGCAGAACCCTTCGGGGGCGTGGCTAGTGGAGGGGCACGGCTTAGAGTCCAGAGGGGCGTGGCGGTGTGTTGAAGGTCCAAAGGGTGCCTCCTACACCCCCATCCTTATGCGCCGTGTCTCTCTCCCGTCGTACCAGCACGAGCTCTACGAGAAGGTTTTCTCCAGGCGCGCAGACCGGCACAGCGACTTCTCCCGCCTAGCGCGGGTGCTCACAGGCAACACCATCGCCCTGGTGCTGGGCGGGGGCGGGGCCAGGTGAGGGGTGTGATCAGTGCCGGCAGGGGCGGGGCCAGGTGCCTTGAGGGGTGGAGCTGACTCCCTGAGCGGGATCCCACAGCACCAATTCCTTGCTGGTGAGGGAGCCTGGAGGAGATTCCTGGGGGTGGGGCTTAGGGATCCCAGCAAGTCACTGAGTCTCCTCCACCGTGCAGGGGCTGCTCGCACATCGGGGTGCTGAAGGCATTAGAGGAGGCGGGGGTCCCCGTTGACCTGGTGGGCGGCACCTCCATCGGCTCCTTCATTGGGGCCCTGTACGCCGAGGAGCGGAGCGCCAGCCGCACTAAACAGCGGGCCCGGGAGTGGGCTAAGGTGTGTATTACGGGGAGGGGTTGGGGAGGTGGTGGGGAAGGGTCCCCCCACCCCAGGAGCACCCTGAAAAACTTGACCTCAGAGGAGCTTCTGGATTTCTCCTGACCCTCCCTGACTTAATCCTGTGAAGCCCATCCGGATTCTTATAGAGATACCTCCAGGACCTTTGATGACCCCTGTGACTTCTGGGCTAGTGATCCTAGCTCCCAGCTCCCAGCTAGAACAATTAATACCCTTAGGGACCTACTAGTCAGTGACCCCCAGGTGACTCCTGTTTGACCCCAGCTCTCCCCTTGCCCCTAGAGCATGACTTCGGTGCTGGAGCCCGTACTGGACCTCACCTACCCAGTCACCTCCATGTTCACGGGGTCAGCCTTCAACCGCAGCATCCACCGTGTCTTCCAGGACAAGCAGATCGAGGTGCATGCTTCCCCCATGCCCCCCCCACCCCTCCCCATAGGCATCCCCAGTCCTCCTGGATCACGGTTCCTATTCCTGCAGGACCTGTGGCTGCCATACTTCAACGTGACCACAGACATCACCTCCTCGGCCATGCGTGTCCACAAAGATGGTGCGTGCCCCCAGGCAGCCCTGCCACAACCACTGGGGCCGTTTGGGCAGTGGGTGCTGGGGGTGGGCAGCCAAGTTGTTAACATGAGTGACCATCCCTCCTGGCCTGATTGCTGAGCACTAACCGTCACCCACTAATGCCCCAGAGGGCCCCAGGTATGTCTGTCCTGGGGGGGCGGGGGGGGGCGGGAGACTTGTCGGGCGCCTCACCCCCTCACCCCCCGTCCCCGCAGGCTGCGTGTGGCGCTACGTCCGGGCCAGTGCCTCCTACTGCCCCTACCTGCCCCCGCTCTGCGACCCCAGGGACGGGCACCTGCTGGTGGATGGGTGCTTCGTCAACAACGTGCCAGGTCAGCGAGCCCACGGGGCTGGCCGGGCCTCTGAGTGCGTCTGAGTGTGCCTGTGCGTGTCTGTGTCTGTGTGTCCCGCCGGGCAGGCTCCCTGTGGCGATACGTGCGTGCCAGCATGACGCTCTCGGGCTACCTGCCACCGCTGTGCGACCCCAAGGACGGGCATCTCCTCATGGATGGCGGCTACATCAACAACCTGCCAGGCAAGTAGCCACCTGCTCGTCCTCCTGCGCGGACACACGGGCGAGCTCACAGCCGGTATGTGCATGTGTAGGATGCACGCATGTGCTGTGTTGGACAGGCACGTACACACACAGATGGGCGGGGTGCCTCCACCACCAGCTTTCTCTCATGCCTGCTGACTTCAAGCATGCAGATAAGAGGCAGGGGCATTTGCAACTTAAAATTCCATACACGCAGAAGTGTGCAAACACAAGTAGACACCTTTGCTGGCTACACAGATGCTTGAGGTCCCATAAGCCAGGGATCCACATAGTTCGCTTGCACGCCAAGTTTGGCCCCCTGCCTGATTTTATAAATAAAGTTTTATTGGCACACAGCCACTCCCAGTCATTTACCTTTTGTCTGTGGCTGGGTCTGTGCAGCAAGGTCAAATAGTTGCATCAGAGACCACATGGCCTAAAAAGCCGAAATAATTTCTCCTCTGACTTTTTATGGTTTGCCAACTCTGGCACAGGCAGCCCATATAGATACATGCATCCACACAACCACATTCACGTGAGCAGGTGTGTACAAACTCTGGTGCACAGGCATGCTTGGATGCACAAGGAAACAGACAGACGTTGATCTAGGGACATGTAAAAGGAATACAAACAGTACTGGGTGTATGTACAGAGGAGTACCCCACCCAGAGGTGGGTGTATTCACAAACATACAGACAAGAGATGTATATATCTGATAAAGGTGCATACTGCACGCGCACACACACACAAACTTGTGAGGGGCACAGGAAGTCTGATGGAGACTCAGGTGTCTTTGGGGAATGGGCGTGGCTATCAGACCTGTCCATAGGCACCCCCAGACCCACGCAAGGACCCTCAGTGGGGCACACAGACTGTGACCTCAGCACCCCACACACACTATGCCATCACTCCACCCTTTACCCTATCCATCCTGCTCCCCTGAATCTCCTTCAACCAGCTCTTTGCTCTCTGTCTCTTGCCTCATCTTGAGGTCTCTGGTTCCACCTGGATCCTCTTTCCTTCCATATCTCTGGCCACTGATCTCTGTCTGTTTCTCCCACCTGTCTCTGTTGCTGTCTCTGGTCCCCTGTGTTTCTCTTCCCTTGGCTCTGTCTCCTGGCATCCTTTTTTGTTTTTAGCTGCTCTGGGTCTTCACTGTGATGTGTGGGCTCTTTGCTGAGGTATTTAGACCTTCTTTAGTTGCAGTGCAACAGGGCTTCTCCAGTTGTGGCACAAGGGTTTAGTTGCCCTGCGGCATGTGGGATCTTAGTTTCCTAACGAGAGATTGAACTCATGTCCCCTGCATTGGAAGGTGGATTCTTAACCACTGGACCAACAGGGAAGTCCCTCTCTGGGTGTCTATTCCCACATCTCCCTGTCAGGTTCCTTCCACCCCTGTCTCCCTGCATCTCAGACCCTCTGTCTGTTTTCATGACTCTGATCCCTTCACCTTTCTTTCCTGATGTCCTTACTATACTCTCTCTCTGTGTCACTCTCCTTCCATGTCTCTGTTTCCCATGCATCTGACTTCGTGTCTCTTTATACAGTGACTTTGTCCCTGTGCTCTATCTTCTCCATTCCCTTGGCCCTGGTTCCCCAAACCCCAAAGCTCCAACACCCAACCCCACTTCCCACACATCATCAGCCTCTGTATCCATCCATACTTACCTCTTTGCATGCCTGCATGTCGTTCGCATGGTTTTTTTGCATGACCATGTGAGTGATGGTGTTTGTGGGACTGGGTTGATCTTCCCTGCCCCGGTACTGGTGGGGAGCCCCCAGCTGACTCCCTGGCCCCACAGCGGACATCGCCCGCAGCATGGGTGCCAAGACAGTCATCGCCATCGACGTGGGGAGCCAGGACGAGACAGACCTTAGCACATACGGGGACAGCCTGTCTGGCTGGTGGCTGCTGTGGAAGCGGCTGAACCCCTGGGCAGACAAGATCAAGGTTCCAGACATGGCAGAGATCCAGTCTCGCCTGGCCTACGTGTCCTGCGTGCGACAGCTGGAGGTTGTGAAGTCCAGCTCCTACTGTGAGTACCTGCGCCCACCCATCGACTGCTTCAAGACCATGGACTTCGGAAAGTTCGACCAGATCTATGTGAGTTGGTGGGAGCCACCTGGTGACCGTGTGGTGGGCCGGCAGACCTTTACTCCTGAAAGCCCAAAACCACAGAAGGGGAAATAATCTAGGGCTCTATTTGGGTCTGGGGGGAATAGAACGGTAATCAATTAGTGATGTCTACAATGAGTGTCACAAGGGGGCATGGCTGCACATGCGCTATGTATGAACTACCAGGCAAGTTGCGCCGCCTGAAGCACGGTGTAGAGATTTCTAACGCCATTTCTGTGTTGGTGGGAATAAGTACCACGGTCAGTTAGTAATGTCTGCCACAGGTTTGTGATGCATTGAAAGCAGCACTGTGTAATGTGCCACTGGTCCAGAAAAATGGATCATAGTGCATGCCAAGAGAAAATGATCAAGCTGGGGGCTTCCGTGGTCCAGATTCCAGGTTAAGATTCCGAGCTTCTGCTCCAGGGGGCGCGGGCTCAATTCCTGGCCGGGGAACTAGGATCCTGCCTGCCGCATAGTGCGGCCAAAAAGAGAAAAAAAAGCATCAGGAGCTGCCTGTCCAGTGGTCTGAGTGAAAAATATTTGATGCCCTTTCCAGGCTCACTGGGAAGGCAAGCCGTGATGGATTAGTGATGTCTGTAGTGGCCATGGGAAATGGTGATGTTTAGGGGTATAGCACATATTTGCAAGGGCTTCCCTGGTGGCTCAGATGGTAAAGAATATGCCCACAGTGCCAGAGACCCAGGTTCCATCCCTGGGTCAGGAAGATCCCCTGAGAAGGGAATGGCTACTCACTCCAGTATTCTTGCCTGTAGAATTTCACGGACAGTGGGGACTGGTGGGCTACAGTCCATGGGGTCACAAACAGTCGAACATGACTGAGCAACTAACACTTGTTTGTAGAGCTTGAAATAAGCTTGCACACTGCCACCTGTGTCCTTTGACACTTGACACACTCCATGGTGCTGAGTGGGAAAAAAAAATGTGCTAAGATGGATTAGTAATGTTGGGCAGGGGCATAGGCTCGAGGATGTGGGGATGAGTGTGCTAAGTACACCCAACTCTGAACTTTAGTCTCAAATGCCAGCTCCTACAGAGCAGCAGGCTTCTGAGGGGCCAGGGGAGGGGCAAGCAGGGTGGGGATAAGCAGAGAGGAACATTCTGGGGGTCGCACACATGGCCCCAAGCCCCCTTCATTTCCTGCAGGATGTGGGCTACCAGTATGGATCGACCGTCTTCGGGGGCTGGAGCCGGGGTGACATCATTGAAAAGATGCTCACAGACCGGCGGTCTGCCGACCTGAACGAGAGCCGCCGTGCAGACGTAAGCCTGTGCCCTCCTCCATCGGCAGGGCCCCTCTGACAATAGATTCTCCCCACCCCAGTTCCCTATGGACCCCTCCCCGCCCAGCACCCCCAACACACACACCTCAGATGACCAGCCTCATCCACATCACCCGGCAGGTGCTCGCCTTCCCCAGCTCCGGCTTCACTGACTTGGCGGAGATAGTGTCCCGGATCGAGCCACCCACCACGAGCTACGTTTCGGTTTCCGACGGCTGTGCTGATGGTGAGGGACCGAGGGCCACCGTTGGAGGGTGGGGACGGTATACGTGGCCGGGGAGGTCAGAGCAGTCCTGAGCCGCGTCAACTTCACCCACGCCATTGCAGGGGAGGAGTCGGACTGCCTGACGGAGTACGAGGAGGACGCGGGCCCCGAGTGCTCACGGGACGAAGGGGGCTCTCCGGAGGGCGCAAGCCCCAGCACTGCCTTGGAGATGGTGAGAGGGGGGTGACCCGGGCCGCCCTCCCCCCGCCCGTGCAGTGGGGAGACTCTGCTGACGTGCCCCCCTGGCCTGGGCTGTGCGATGACACACGCAGGGCGTGGGGGGCCACCCCTTGTCCCCACAGGAGGAGGAGAAGTCGAGCCTCCGGCACCGGCGCTGGCTGCCGCAGGAACCCTCCAGCCCTGCTGTGGATACCTGAGGACCTCCAGAGGGGTCCCCGCCTTGGGCTGGACAAGGGGTGAGCCCTGTGGGTGTGGCTCACTCCCCCTCTGCCTGCTGCTATGCCTGTGACCCCTTGGGTCCCCCTTGACCCCCAGGGCCCACACACTGGACTGGCCTTTCCCCCCTCCCCAGCGTGGGGGAGGGGCAGCACTGCACTGATGACCCTCGATCAGCCACACCAATAAACCTTTCCCTCTTGGAAGTGGCCTTATGTCATCTTTGGGTTCAGGGAGCACCTCACTCCACCGTCTATGCTCAGGATGGCTGAGGCTGGCGCTGGAAACAGCCTTGAGCTTGTCACAGTGACCAGTGCTCCCAGCCTCTGGCTGAACATCCCCCACTCCCAGTGGGAGTGGCCTGCAGTCCCACTCGGTGCGGGCTCTGGACCACACGGCCTGCAGATGCTGTGCGCCTCTCTGGGGATCACGGATGCCCATTCTGGCACCCCTCGTTTCCCATACTGGGTTCCCACAGCCTTCGCCCCTTGACTAGTCCTACTGTGTGCAGAAGCTCCATGTTTTCTATGTGTTCCTATTGTGTGTGCTCCTGAGCCTGGTCCCCAAAGGACGTCCCATACATACACGCGTGAACGGGGCTCAAGAACTTTACTCTCGGAGGCTCCCAGCCAGTTTTCTCTACTGTGTGCTGCTGGCCTGTTGGTGCTCCCCATCACTGCCTCCTCCTCCCCAGATCCGGAGCGGGGATGTGACAATGGGTGGGCTCATTCACAAGACTATCTTGCGGGCAGTGGGGAACCCTGGATGATTTTTTGTTTGTTTGTTGTGTGTGTATGTTTTCTTATAAAATATACATAGCATAGGAGACTTCCCTGTCCATCCAATGTTTAAGACCCCATGCTTCCAATGCAGGGAGCATGGGTTTGATCCCTGGGTGAGGAACTAAGATCCTACATGCCACGTGGTATGGCCAAAAAAATTAAATAAAATTTTATATGTATATGTTTTTAATTTTTTTTCTTTTTAATTGAAGTATAGTTAGTTGGTTTACAATGTTGTGTTAGTTTCTGGCACACAGCAGAGTGATTCAGATATATATAAGACATACATTCATTTTCAGATTCTTTTCCCTTACAGATTATTATAAGATACTGAGGATAGTTCCCTGTGCTGTACAATATGTCCTTGTTGGTTATCTGGTTTTTTTTAATAAAGTGAGAGTGAATGTTTTTATTGACTCCCTATTTATTTGGCTGTGTCGGGTTTTCATTGTGGCATGTGGAATCTTCGTTGTGTCATGAGAGATCGTTCGTTGTGGCACACAGACTCCAGTTGCAGCGCACAGATGTTACCAGCTGTGGCACATGGGCTTAGTTGACCCTGGGCATGTGTGAAGTGAAAGTGTTAGGACCCCATGGACTGTAGCCGGCCAGGCTCCTCTGTCCATGGGATTTTCCAGGCAAGAATACTGGAATGTGTGGCGATTTCCTTCTCCAGGGGATCGTCCCATTTGTTTAAAATGTATTCTTTTTTAAAATGTATTTATGGTTGCTCTGGGTCTTCATTGCTTTTGGTGCAGGCTTTGCTCTGGTTGTGCCAAGCAGGAGCTGCTCTTTGTTGTGGTGCATGGACTGCTCATTGCTGTGGCTTCTTGTCACGAAGCACAGGGTTAGGCACACAGACTTCAGTAGTGGTGGCTCATGGGCCTAGTCAAAATCTTCCTGGACCAGAGATTGAACTTGTGTACCCTGAATGGCAGGTGGATTCTTAGCCACTGCATCACCAGGGAAGCCCCTACTTGTTTATTTTCTGTTTTTATTTCCATTACCCTAGGAGACAAATCTAAAAAGATCTTTCTGTGGTTTCTAAGAGTATCCTCCCTGTGTTTTCCTCTAGGAGTTTCATAGGATCCATTCTCATATTTAGGTCTTTAATCCATTCTGATTTTCCTTTTGTGTATGTATGGTGTTAGAGAATTTTCTAATTTCATTCTTTTGCAGGAAACTGTCCAGTTTTCCCAGCACCTCGCATTGAAGAGATTGTCTCTTTTCCTTTGTATATTCTTGCCTCCTTTGTTGTAGATTAATTGACCATAGATGCATGGGTTAAAGCCTCTTTTCTATGTGAGGTGACACATTCATAGGTTCCAGGAATTACATTTTTGGAGGGAATAGAAATTATTTTGCCTACCATAAGTTCCTAGGAGAAGAGAACGTTGGAACAGCAACCCACTCCAGTATTCTTGCCTGGAAAATTCCATGGACAGAGGAGCCTGGCAGGCTACAGTCCATGGAGCCACAAAGAGTCAGACACGACTGAGTGACTAACACTTTCACTTTATAAGTTCCTAAGTGCATAAGCTAAGCCAATAGAAGACCCTCAGTGAATTATGGTTGTTACTAGGATGATCAGTAGGTCATTATTGACATTATGACTATTTATACCTGGAACTTCAGCATCTCGAGGGTAGGAACTTAGTCTCCTGTGTCTCCATTGTTGAATCAATGATGGCTCCCTTCTGGGGAACAACGGCTCAGCATGTCAGCACCATGGACAGCGAGGGTGCTATCCAAGGTGCTCCCAAGGCCCACCTCCCTCTGCCTTCACCTCCAAGCCTCTGACATCCCTGCCCCCTCCAGATCCTGGGGAACACATTAAGCTGAAAACTAAGCCCCGGTCTGTACCCTGCAGACATCTCCACTATAATTGCCCCCCATTCCATGCTCACTTGCTCCTCCAGTTCCACTAGCATTTCTTCTGCAACTTAAACTCTTCATAGATTCCTGCCTTGGAGCTCTTTACTCTGTGTAGTTGAATAAGTCTATTCTCAAATATTTCCTCTTCAGATTTTCTGAAAGTACTGTCTAAATCAGTTTCCCCACTCCCACTGCCCTGTTTTCTTGCCATTTTTTCTTTTTAAAAAATCTTTTGGCAGCACTGTGGAGCATGCATGATCTTAGTTCCCTGACCAGGGATCGAACCCATACTCCCATATTGGGAGCACGGAGTCTTAATCACTAGACTTCCAGGGAAGTCCCCTCCATGACTTTTTAAAAAAATAATTTTATTTATTTATTTATAGCTGTGTGGGTCTTTGTTGATGTGTGGCTTTCCTCTAGTTGTGGTGAGCAGTGGCTACCCTCTGGCTGCAGAATGCAGGCTTCTCATTGTGGTAGCTTCTCTCATTCCAGAGCATGGGTGGGCTCTAGGGAGCTCGAGCTTCAGTAGTTGCAATGTGTGGGCTCAGTAGTTGTAGCTCTTGGGCTCTAGAGCACAGACTCAATAGCTATGGTGCATGGGCTTAGTTGCTCCATAGCATGTGGGATCTTCCCAAACCAGGGATGAAACCTGTGTCTACTGCATTGGCAGGCAGACTCTTTATCACTGAGCCACCAGGGAAGCCCCCTTCCTTGCCTTTTAATCATACTTACTGACCACAGTCATTTTGCTTGTTTATCATCTGTCTCTCTTTGCTCAAATATAAGCTCCAACCCTGGAGGAGGCTTGTGCAGAAGAGCTTTTGGCCCATAGTAGGATCTTAGTAATGTTTGTCTAATGAGATCAAGCTCTAGGGGTAAAGCAAAGATATCTGAGATGTCCCCTATGCTCTAGGAATCTCGAAACCCCCACTTGGAAGCCACATAATATCCTCTTTCCCTAAAGCACATATGAGCACCACCAGCAGAAATAACAATGACAATTTTTGGAAACAATTTCCATATATCATGTCTTGAGCTGATGCATACATATTCTCTCTTTGAACTCTCACAAAAGCTCCATGGATGATATATTATTATTATTATTATTATTATTATTTTATTATCCCATTTCATAGAAGAGATAACTGAAGCTCAAAGAGAGGGTTAAGTGACACAGTTGCTAAGAGATGGAGCTGGTTTTCATATTCAGAAGCTTAACCACCAACTTATACTATCTCCCTAGGAAGTGGATTTGTTGAAGTTTCCTCAGTAGGCTGCATTCCTGTAGACAGCACTTGATCCTCAGGAAAGAAGTCCTCTGTGGAACTGGAAGGGGTCCCCTGATCACCCAACTCCCTTATCTCACTGATGCTCGGAAGGCTGGGACCCCTAGCACTTTGAAGTTGAAATGGAGTCTGTAATGGGATGATTTTTGTTGTTGTTATTCAGTTGCTAAGTGGGGTCCAACTCTTTGTGACCCTATGGACTGCAATATACCAGGCTCCCCTGTCCTTCACTCTCTCCTGGAGTTTGCTCAGATTCATGTCCATGGAGTTGCTGATGCTATCTCATCCTCTACCACCCCCTTCTCATTTTGCCTTCTATCTTCCCCAGCTTCAGGGTCTTTTCCAATGAGTTGGCTCTTCACATCAGATGGCCAAAGTATTGGAGTTTCAGCTTCAGCATTAGTCCTCCAATGAATATTCAGGGTTGATTTCCTTTAAGATTGACTGGTTTCATCTCCTTGCAGTCCAAGAAACTCTGAAGAGTTTTCTCCAGCAACACAATTAAAAAGCATTAATTCTGTGCTCAGTCTTCTTCTCCCACATCCATACATGACTACTGAGAAACCATAGCTTTGACTATGTGGACCTTTGTCAGCAAAGTGATGTCTCTGGTTTTTAATACACTGTCTAGGTTTGTCATAGCTTCCCTTCAAAGGAGAAAACATCTTTTAATTTCATGGCTGCAGTCTCTGTCCACAGTAATTTTGGAGCCCAAGAAAACAAACTCTGTCACTGCTTCCCCTTTTCCCCCTTATATTTGCCATGAAGTGATTGGACTGGCTTCCATGATCTTTGCTTTTTCAATGTTGAGTTTCAAGCCAGTATCCCCCATCCCGAATCCATACATTGAAATCCTTATCCCCACGACATCAGAATTGGACTTTATCTGGAGATGGGGTCTCTAAGAAGCAATAAAGTTGAAAGGAGATAATTCAGATGGGTCCCAATCTATTATGTGACTGGTGTCCTTAAAAAAGGGGGGGTAAATTTGAACACAGACACACATAGAGGGTGATGGAGAGACACAGCGAGAATATCACCTAAAAACCAAGGAACCCCTGAGACCTTGAGAAGCTGGGAGGGAGGCATAAAAGATTCTCTCTTACAGCCCTCAGAAGGAGTCAAGGCTGTACTGTAGCATCTTGATCTTGGACTTCTAGCCTCCAGAACAGAGATAATCCATTTCTGTTGTTTAAACTACCCTGTCTGTGGTCCCTGGCTGTGGCAACCTTATCAAATGAATAGAGAGCCCTTGGTTGG